CAGGATTTTTACAAAACTTTGTACTATGACCTTTCTCTTTGCACAGAAAGCAGACCATCTTGTCTGTTGAAAAGTAAATCCAGTAATTGGTGTCGTCAAAATTGATTGACATGTTGGGAGGGTTTTAGTTTAATCCTCTTCATTTACACATACTTGTCTTCTGAAGGTAACTTTTAGGGAGTGATTACCAATGGCTACTCTGAGGTTGTCATCGCATAGCTTCTTAACTACGTATTTGTTGCTTTAATATAAGCAGACACAATTTTGCAAAATTCTAAAAGCAAATTTAGAATTTTTCGGTTTAATTGAAGAACCTATTACAACAGTGTAGCTGTGAATAGAGATGCCCTTAATCGGACTGAGATTGCTGAGGCTTTTGAGCAAAAGTAACTTGCAGGAATGGAGTAGCTAGAGACGATAAGGTTAGTTTGCCAACGGATGGTTAAGACGACATGTCCATTAGAGAAATATCTCTTGAAAGAGAGATCCTGAAAAGGGATTCACGACGTGCCCAAACGAAAAATTGGTTTGTTACATCAGGTAAATAAGAAGAAGCCAGTAGCGTGAGAAAAAAGCAATACCTTGTAGTTATTTTCTGATAACATGTGTTGCTCGAATGCTGGCTTGTGCGTGACTCTGCTTTTATCTGTATGTTAGAGTAATAGATTATGTCATTAGTTGAAAATTCAATGAAAATATGTAAGTACTCTGCATTTTGCTTCTTTATTGGATTACTCACACTGAATGAAGTATTCAGCATATTCCAGTAGGTATTTTAACACTTTTTTGTTTTTAATGAACTGTAAGATATTAAGATCATCCCTGTACAAAGGGTTTAAGTATTATCCAACAATTTTATTAGAGCTTTCGCGTTATACAGGAATCAGGAACAAACCTTACTATTAGAAGGTAGTTTAAAGTCATTTGTTACTTTATAAGACACTGTTTGAATTTTGAATAATTCTACGCTTTCTTCTTCTAGAGTGTTTATAGTACTCAAATCCAAACCATGTAGGTGTATTTTGTCGGACCGTCCCCATGGACATTAATGACGTACATGGTCTTCTTTACTATTGTTTATATTAGCAACGATGACAAGTAAAAGTTCTCCTGCATCTTTAGCAAAAATAAAGGGTATTTTATTACACAGCTTATAGATTCAAATGCTCTTGAACTGATTTTTGTCAATTTAATTACCATAAGTCAGAGAGATTTTGATAGAGTTGATTATCAAATTGTTTGTGTGTCGTGAAAAATAAGAGTGTTTATTTTCTTTAAAATATTGGAGCCTAAAATATTTGCATACATTATAAAAAAGTCATTACGTATGGTAAAGAATTTTATTTGTCGATCAGCTACTTTTAACGTTTAAACTACCTACACTCGATAAAGGTGTTAAATTAATATCCTTAAAAATATTTTTTTCTTCCTTACTGCTCATGAAATTTTTTATAATTATGTTTTTGTTAAGGTTAACTTCTATGCCACTATTTATTAGAATAGGATGGCTTAGACATTCCACTTAAGAGGGGATGTTGATGTTAAGGATATGTTCTGTTATAGTTGTGTTTGTTCAAATAGTGCTGAGAAAAAAGTGGCTTCTTAATACTGCTTTGTTGTGAAGAGTCAACAGGATTTCTGCGTTTTAATTAATTTAACAGGCTTAGTTTTAAGAAGGTAGACAACTGCCCTTTTTAAGCTGGCAAATTTGCTGTGATAGAGATTGAGTAGCTGAGCGTTTTAATTTACTACAGTATTGGCAATTTTAATTATCTTTGATTTTCTTATAGTGTACGTTAGATATGTCACCGTTATTATTACAATAATTACGTACGTTGATACTGCTTACGGTACAGTGACTGGCCATATGGCCTACTCGCAAAGAGATCCGATACTTTTTTCTGGACCTTAGAGATCGGGGGAAAAATTGATGTTTTTAAAAAAAATACCACTTTTACTCCCGAACTACAAAAAATACGATAGAAAAAGTGAAGACAGTATAACAATGATGGCTTATTAGTGTTTGGAGTACATTTGTTAGAAAAATACCACTTTTCCTTCAATATTCAAAAAAGACAATAAAAATAGTAACGGGAATTTGACATTGATAGCTCATTTGTGGTCAGGGAATGAAATGTTTGGTGAGAGTACACCACTATTCATTGCACTTTAGAAAGCTTACAGAAAAAAAAAATTGCACGTGGTTGTAGAAAATATGTATAATGATATTATTCATAATTATAAGTTAAGTTATAGTTTGTTTATCAGTTGAAGTTTGCTTTAAATAAGACTATCATTTTGCCACCAGGGCTTGAGATAAGTGTATTGCCAGTATCTATTTATAGTAAAAGCAAAAAACAAAGACCCCGAAGGCAAATATCAAATAAGTATAAATACATACACATAAACGTATAATATATAAAGGTATAATAGCACGTACTTTAGATGCGACTAGGATGAGTGATATACGGAGAGAGTAAAACATCTTAAAAAAAACTTGGATGGCGTATACCTCAAAGTAAGGCATAAGCTGTGAAGAAAAGCGAATCGGGTTGTTAAGGGTATATTGGAGAAGTGTGTGATCAGACGTAACAATTCTTTTTTCTACCTGATTTTTTAACTGCACTACAAGCACCTTTAAAGCATTTCTAACGATATATTAAGCATTTTGCTTTTTGTATACATGTGTTGTGAGGTATATTTAATTATTGCACTAAAAGCACTGCATGGTCTTTTAGCTCACATACTTCGTTTTCTTTTTTTGTTTTGTTTTGATAATACTATATTTTTTTCTGCTTCAATTGAATATCAAACTTACTTTGATCCTTTATTTTTTCAGTGATTGAAGAAATCACTATTTTTCATCAATACTTAAATCTAAAGCATTAACTCTTCGCCAAGACTTCTTAGCCTAAGTTTTATCTGCTTTGTGTCTGACTTTTAAATCTTGTCGATATTTTGACTAATTTATATTATGCTATTTTCATGCTGCATTCAACGGATTAACTCACAAATTTCCTCTATCAAGACACTCAGAAAGCTTAGTACCTGAATCGCCATATTATTAGCCGGGTAAATGGTGTACTAATGAAAATTTTTTGATCTTGTTTACAAAATTTTGTCCCTTCTTACAATAGATGATGATAATTGAGCCTTTAATGGTTGAATCATGACTAAAAGTTTTAGAAAATAAATAATGTATTAAAAGTAATCAAATTCGTTGTAATGAAGATTAAAAACTCTACAAGTTGCTCATTTTTAATGGATAGATAGAGTGTATTAAGTTCTTTATACAATATAAAAATGTAATTCAATGAGTTATCCATAAAATGACAAGTGCCAAATTTCGAGGGCATTGTCAAACAATTAAAATGTTTTAATTGACATGGTGAACTACTTTTCAACCGTATTTTTGCTGTCTTTGTTTATGTTATTAATGTTAAAATACATCGTTAATTATGAGCTTCAACCATACATCCTAATAAAGTTGAGTTAAAAAGAATGTTCAATGTGTGAAATATTTACTTTTCAGCAAGCACACAACTGTAGTCACACTAGACGATGCTTTACCTGATTCTATAATGATTTTTTAATATACATTGTAGTTTGTCAGAAAAAGATAATCTGGAGGCCTTTTTCTACACGGAAGGGCACAAAAATGTGAATAATTTTTACTTTTATTAGTAACGTGTTTAAGAACCAAAGCATCTTGTAAGCAATATCGTTTATTTTTCTGTCTTATCTCGTCAAGATGAAGTTAACTTTGGGCATGTATTAACTAACAATGGTAACACAGACATGACATACATTTAATTTAATAACGTATGTTCTAGTTGCTAGACCAACATAAATGCAAATATGTTATTATCAACGAGAACAGGCAAATGAATGAAGGTCGTTGAAGACAAGGCTTGCATAAGTTTAACGTACTTTTAGTACATACCTTGTACAAGTGCTGTATTGTCTTGCAAGACAGGGCAGTATTATTATTCTTACTATGTGTTAACTAGAGAATGATATTGTACTTAAGTTAATTATGGTGAGAGAGACTGTTTAAAAAAAGCAGGCTGGATAAGTTTGGAAAAAATGAGGCTCAAATAGTACATTACGATACAAGTTCACAGGGAAGGCGGTAAACGCACACGTATTAGTCACATAACCTCTAGCATGTGTGGTGTATACAAGTTTTTGACACAGTGGTCTTGGGAAACGTGATTATGAGCTATTTTATGTGGCTCTGCAAAAACTTTGACGTATACACACATATATACGAGTGCACAGGACGAGCTGTCAGTAGCGTGTGTAAATCGAGGTTCTTAGAGCCTCAACATTTATCGCATAATCGAGTCCCCATGCACAGCGTGGCAAAAAATTGTTCACTAAAACTTTGGAAACAATTACTCATCTTCTAACGAAAATTGCTGCAAATAACAAAACAATAAAAGTAGTAAACCTGTTACTAAAAACTTTTTTTTAAAGTCGAAACGATACAACAATACCAAAAGTTCGTGGAGTCAGCAAAAAAAACAGAAAAAAACTAAGTAAAGGTGATGTAACACTCCAGTTTTTCATTCGTAAGGTTGATAATGAGGATAATACTGATTCTATTAATACTATTTTAAATCAAGTATTAAGCTTGCTTCAAATAAGTATAAATTTATTTAAGTTTTACTGACAAACACCTAATTTTAATTAAAAAATTGATTTCATTTAACGTTTTTAGTATAAAAAAAATACAACAGGGTGATTCGCAAGTAGTTTTAGAGTACAATTATATTAAATGAATAGTTTTAGTTGCTTAAGGTGTGCTAGATAAATGAAGCTACTCTTATAAAAGCATCCGAATAAATCTTTTATAACACGAAATAATTCACAGAAATACTACACAGTATCACAAACTTTAAGTGCTTATGGAAAAAAGTTTAAAAAAATTTAATTATAGTTTCCTGAAAAAACAGCTCAATAAACGATATTTTAAAGGAAATTAATTTTTTTTTCAGAAAAAATGGTATGCCCAATTATATGTAGAAACAATACATTAAAAATTTTATGAAATAAAAAGATTAAATCACTTTAATATTAAATATAATTTTATTTTAACTTTAAATTGTTTTAGCTTATGGATATTACTTGATGCTAAACATTCTCATATAGCTCAAATGGCAGTACCTCTTTTATTACACTGTATAACACTTCCATGTGGAGTTGGAACGTTTTGGCAGATTATGCAATATGAATTCCTTAATGATGATTGGCGAGTTCGTTTTACCGCAGGTATTTATAGATTATTCTTAAACTTGTATGAAGTAGATTTAGTTACATAAAAGATATCATTATTACCTTTTTTCTGTAAAATCCCTATGTATTTCTACACATCGGAAACTACGCTTTAATACAAAGGAGATGGTTTTTGAGATTAAAAAAATGTTAACTACTTGATCATATCAAGATATTAAATTGTTAACTATCAAAATAATACTTAAACGTTTTGTTCAATAAGCAAAGTGGTATAAGGCTTATAAATGCAGAATGATAAAGAGGGAGTTTAATAGGCCTTATTCATGGATTCTTCAATTTCATTATTTTCCTTACATCTTTGATCACAAAAAGTAAGTTTGAATTAACAAACAAGTTGAAAACCAGAAGTAATATACGTAAAATCACATTCAATAATTTATTACTGTTTCACATGCTAACAAACATCTTTGATCAGTGTGACGAACGATATAATAACCTTTGTTTATATGCTTTTTTCTACTTATTAAAATTGTTTACTAAGACTATATGGTAATTGATTAAAGAACTATTTTAGGTTTCTCACTGTTAACCAGGCATTTAACAAATAACTGATTTAACAATTGTGATAAAATTGCTTTTTTATTACGAAAACTGTTCTTACTTCGTTTTATCTGAACTATCAAACTTAAAATTTTGTTCTCAATTTAAATCTTTGATGTGGCAATTTGGATATTTTGTGCAAGCTAATCATAACACTGAAAACATGTATAGTAAGCAACGAATAGTAACCACTTTACTTAACACAGCTCAATTTAACATAATAATTTAAGAATCTTTTCAAGTAATCTCTTCCATTTATAACTTTATACTATTCAGCATCGTTTAGCTATGTGTATCTCTGGTTTTCGTATAATTTACCTAATCAATGGCTTACATTATGCTGCAGTAAAAGAAAATTTTTTATAAAGTGGTTTTTTTATTTCCAGTTAACTTTATTCTATTTTCCGGAAATCTTCTTACTGATCAAACTAGTACATCATCCAATTAAGAAGAAAAACTCAGTCTCACAAGATAACGCTGACGGCAGATAAACTTTGAATCAAAAGTTCTATGTAACAAAATTAATTTATCAAAGGGCCTATATTAGACACATGCTAAAATTTAAGCAGCTGTCTATTTTGAGTAATAATAAAAATGTTACTTTCTATACATAGTTTCGTCCCTCAAAAAATTATAGGCTGAAATGATTGAAAGAATTACTGGCGACTTTTTTCAAAATATTTAATTAATGTATTTTATTACAGCCCAGCAAGAGTAGTAAGGTAGCATGAATAAGTATATTCTCTACCTTCACTACAATATTAGTAATTTAGTAGTGTACAGGTGAAGTAACCTTTATTTTATCCTTCAGATCTCTAAGTTTTTTAATACTTCTTTTAATATGTTGACATAAATTTTTTTTTTAAGTAACTAAGTTCTAATATAACTTATCTAGGATTTTTGATTATTCCATAATGCAAGGGGCAATAGTGCACAAAAAGATAGCGCAGATAACGGCGGAAAATTATCTGCACGTCAGCTATAAAAGGGATGCTGCTGACAGCACTGAGCACGAGCAGAGAGAAAGAGTGACCACGTAGTGGAGATACTAGGGATAGCGATGGCGCTTCGATGGCGAAGTACTTGGGTAGATGATTAGAACTTTGCTCTAGGTTCCCAAGGCCTTGAGAACGACCTAGCTATACGTGACTCTTTTAGGATAGGCATAGAGTCCAGGACTAACACTCCGTGGCTGTGCTAATCATCTACCCTAGTCTAACCAAGTGTACGTTGCAGAGAATATGTACGGGAAAATGTGACAATCCTTGAAAACATAGTTTGGCGAAATTTAAAGTTAAAAATATAATTAATTCTTTACTTAAGCGTGAAATTGTAATCATCTTAAAGTGATTCATATTCTTTAAAATTAAAAAGAGTTTTTTTAGTTGTTGAATTAAAAATTGCGCTAATTATTAAAATAAACATGATTAAAAAACCCAGTGATTAAGGAACATAATTTTCTCATTCAAATAAAAGTAAATAAATTTAAAAAAAGAATAGGTGATTGCGAGTCCTAATATTACTTGAAGTTTATTTAAAAATTTAATTGCAAATGATTTTGTTATTTTGTATACAATTCAATTGATTCAAAACTTTTATTGTCTTATCTATTGCTGAGTTTCGGAGTAAAAAAGAAATTGAATTATATAAAACAAAAAGTAAGTTTTAGCGTATAAGATTTTCATTTTTGTCCGGAGAGGTATAAATTCATTTACTGAGAATAGGAAAGAATTACGAAAGGAAAGGTCAATAAAGCTATAATCAAAAATAATCGCTGTATATATTTCAGGGATTTATAGATTATTCAACACTTCATTTTAATTTCAATCAAAACTACTTTAAGATGTTTTTTATTCAGATAATTGGCAACCCGAGCGATCTCACTCTTTTAAATTGGGCAACGAACCTTCCCTTAAACATATAATTACTAATATTGATTGTGTGTTGGTTCCTTATGATAGAGTTTTCCCGGTACCGATAAGATTCTTAGCCATTGCTGGACTACTGCCAACTAGTTGGGGTTACACTTAAGGAAAGGGAGGTCGTAATAGGTCAAGAGTATTTTACGAAAAATTACACAAGGTACGCTGCACAACATTTTGCAGATAAGGGTAACACTTGGTGTGTAACGCATGATGCAAGACGATACTTGGCTCCACTTCATTGTCAGAAATAGAAAATGAAAAAGACTAATGCAGAGAAAAAACAGATTTATTCCTTTTTAGTGGAGAAGTGAGAATTAGAAGAGGAAAAAGACTACGGTAGCATGCTGGGCAGACACCCTTGTCATTAATAAAAGTAGAGTATTCGTTTAAATTATATTTTAAGATTTACGAAAAGCTATTCATGAAAATCTAGGCTACACCCTTATTCTTATAGAACCTTTAGAAAACATGTACTGGCTGCAAACAAAAAGAAATTTAGTTACTAAGAAGTGAAGACAGAAGAATGAGCCGTGTAAGATATTCCACAGCAAGCATCTTAATTGCAAATGATAAAGTCAAAGATAACACAGCAAAGGCATAAACAGGGTACATTAAATTTTCCAAAAAGCCGATAGCACCAGAATGAAATAATCCAGATAATGCTCTCGTCTGAAAATACTTACTCGCTTCTCAACCAACAAAAACAGCAGTTTCTTCTCCTATGCAACAAAAGATTACACACTTGCTGCAAAATACTACTACTCTAGTCAAAACAAGAACGATCTTACAACAAAACACTTATATTTTGCAAGACCCTTTTCCTCCACCAGGTGTTGAAGCGTTAGCAGAAGCTACGTAACAGAAAATAATTATACTTTGTAGTAATACAACGCTTTTTTAATTAAGGAAAGATTAGTGGCAGTGTTATATAGCGAGTTGATACGGACAAATCATATTTTAAGTGAAAACGTAAGTTATCTGTAAAATTTATACAAGACGTATTGTGTATATACAGCAAGCGTATATGACAAATGAAGCTCATACGTAACATATGTGTGTGAGTGTGCATGTGTGTGTGTGTGTATTGTATTTAAAGTGAATATTTTATATTATGCTTACATATGTTACAGCCAGCCTCGTTTTAAGAGTGCACGTTTGTATTGAAGTTGTACGTTACATGTATAAGTGCATAAATCATATTGTGTGGGTAAATGAATAGCTTATCTAGGTATTACTAGTCTATTTGTTGGAGTGTATACCAATTTATAGATCGTAATTGACACATTGTTTCATTGTACCCAAAATTAGTTATAAGATCCCCAAAAGGGTACGTTGAGAAATTTGTTAACTTATTTGTCACACTTGTACTTGTATTTAACGTTTTTTTCTAGCTGGCATGAGATTTTATCATCACTGATCCAAAACACTCAATCGCGTGTGTCAGAAAAATGGGATTGGTACTGTTGGATTGTTATTTCCTAATACATGAACTCATAACATATAACATCATTGTGCAAGCCTAATGCTTTGCTGTCAACAAAATCTGCAAGAATATCACTCATTGGTTGACCTAATTTAACCAAAGGCCTCTTTTACGCACTCTGACGCTATAAGAATGCCTTATCAAAAGAAAAAATCGCTCGTTTAATGTTCATCACCTGTCCACTAAGGTTTTAGTTTATTTATGAACAGCAAAACTTGCTAGTAGCTTACATTTAGAATGCATAACGTGTTGGCTAAGAAAACTTGAGTGCATTTCAAAAACATAAATAGTATCAGATTACGCTAAACAGCGAGGTGCTAGAAACGAGGCCCGCCAAAAAAGGTTTCGGCAATAGCAGAGAAAGCAAAAATCGCAACATCTTACTGGTCACGAACTTATTCACGTAGTGTAAAGAACCACTGACAATGACTGCACAAAGCACTAGAAAACTCTGAAGCAGCAGTAAAAACAAACAGTGATAAATGTAAGTTGTTATTCGGTTAATTAATTAATACCAAACTTTGTCAAAGTAATCTGAGTAAATTCAATTTAATATAAAATCTATTTTAAATTGTTCTAATGAAATATGACAATAATTATATTTGTTCATGTAATAAAAATAACAAATTTTTCTACTAGAGAAATGAGATGAATAAGTGAAATAACATCCGATGGTGACACTGTCAGATTTTGTATTTATTGAAAAACAAAACGACGTTTCGGCCGTTTGGACAATGTCCCGGCCCTCATCAGATACAAAAATCTATAAGAAATGAAAAGTTTTTTAGAATACAAATTTTGATAAATACAATGAATAAAAATTAAGTAGAGTTTTAAATATACCTCTGACCCTTACGAAGGGAATGTAAAATCGTAATGTAGTCTAAGTTTTAATTTTTATTGCTTTCATACCCAGCACATTACCAAACAATATACGAACACAATACAACCAAATGAGAATCGCAAGCAGTTCCTTGTAAGACATACGTAAGCAGATCATGTTTTTCTACTACCATAAATGAAAGGGG